CCTGGGATAGAAACAAGTTGATTTAGGCCAACTTACCTATATCCAAAATCGTGTCGTTGAGTTGGTGCAAGGCGTTGAATTTTTTTTGGAAAAAAATAATTTTGCTCATAAAAAGAGAAGGCTGGGATCAATTTCCATAATTTTTGGCATGGCATGTTCCCCAACTGTAAGTCACTTTTTGAGATGTTCTTGATCATCATCAGTGTCCTGCAAGTGTTTCAAACAACCATGTTGCCGTACAAATTTTGTGATAACTTTCCAGAGGTCGGACTGGAAACTTCCAGTTTTTTTCCAGAAAAATATTTTCTTCAGAAATATTTTTTGTATCGTGTTTATCTTTGATATGTCTCGAGGTTCATTTGCAAATAAATAATTTCTGATATGATGCATCCTGTGCATTTTTGAAAATTAATCTAATTAGTTGGACTGTTTATTGATCATGGCTACAATATGATTTATTATTGTAAATAAACTGATGAGTTGCTGGTCCTCGTTGGCATTACAAGAACTTTCACGTCACAAATTTAGCGATAACTATATACAGGACCCAAGGTGAGCACTTTAACGCCTTGTACCAACTTAACGAAACGATTTTGGATATAGGTAAGTTGGCTAAAATCAACCTATTTTTATCCCAAGAGTCTACAGTCAAGCCATGTCCCAACCAGATTATTTTTCTTAAAAATGCATGAGATGCCTCAGATCAGAAATTATTCATTCGCAAATAATCCTGAAAAAATAACAAGATACAAAAAATATTTCTGAAGGGAATATCTTTCTGGAAAAGAAACTGGAAGTTCCCAGTCCGACCTCTGAGAAGTTGTCACCAAATTTGAACGGCAACATAGTTGTTCGAAATACTTGCAGGTCACTGATGATGATCAAAAACATCTCAAAACGTGACTCACAGTCACAGAACATGCCATGCCAAAAATTATGAAAATCAATCTCAGCCTACTCTTCTTATGAGCAAAATTATTTTTTCCGAAAAAACTTCAACGCCTTGTACCAATTTAACGAGACGATTTTGGATATAGGTAAGTTGGCCTAAATCAACTTGTTTTCATCCCAGGAGTCCATAGCCGAGCCCTGTATAATGTTCACCTTCAACAATGACGTGCGTTCAAGCACTGACTCTGATATATTATATGAACACAAAAATTGTACCTACGCAATGGTGTCTTGCAGAATAGAAGTTATGAGCTATCAAAAATTATATTTCTCATAAAAACTGCTGGTAATCTTATAATATTAGAACCGTGCGTGTTCTCATTAGAAATTACAAATCTTTGAACTGATTTTCTCATACAAACTCATTTGATACATTTTGGATTGAGCATGCATTGTCTGATTCTCGGTCTGATTGAAACTAGTAAACAGATTCCGCATAAAACCTCTTGTTTTATTATTATCATCATATAACAACTGTCAATCATTGTCATTAATCCTCATAAGATCTAATAATATATATTTTGAACTCGAAAATATTGTACTATTGAAAACTCACACAAACTTATAGGAAACATTTTATATTGGACATGAACTGTCTGATCCAAACTCGTGAATCATCTTGAAAAAACTCTGCGAAAAAGCCTCTCGATATACTAGAAGTCATAACTATATATCCTCATCAACCCTCAAGAAGTCTATAACATATTATATCCTTAGCTTCAGCATTGTCTTTACAAACCTCGAAAACATACACATCTCATTCAAACTCATTAGATACCATTTAGATCAGGCATGTATTGTCCTATCTAAACTTGTGAATCCTTATACAAAAATGCTGCATGAAACCTCTCAACATACCATTGAAGTCATAACTGTATATCCTTATCAACACTCATGAATTCTGGAACACATACAGCCTCAGCTTGACCCATAGGATTCGTTTCATTTCAAATCAGTATTGTCTTTTCCAACTACAAAAATCTTCAGAACATACACATCTCATACAAACTAATTAGTTACCATACAGATTAGACATGTATTGTCTTATCAAAACTCGTGAATCCCAATAACGCATCATTCATTTCAACGTATGGATACAGTCATAACGGTGAATCCCTATCAACTCTCATGAATCCTTAAACAAACATTTCCTCATGAGATACATATCTCATAAAAAATGATCAGATACATTTCGAATCAGACATGTATTGTCTAATCTAAAATCTTGAATCCTTATACAGCAATCCCGCATAAAACCTCTCAAAATACCAATGGAGTCATAATGGTATACCCTTATCAACACCCATCAAATTTGATACACATCAAGCCTCAGCATGACCCATAGGATACATTCCGTTTCAAATCAGTTATGTCTTTTCAAACCCCAAAAATCCTCAGAACTAACACATCTCATACAAACTTATTAGATACCATTCAGATTAGGCATGTATTGTCCAAAATTCTTAGACAGAAATAACGCATGAAACATCATAACATACGAATACAGTTATAACGGTAAATCCTTATCAACACTTATGAATTCTGGAACACATCTCACCTCAGCTTGACTAATAAGATACGTTTCATTATAGATCAGTAATTGCTTATAAGAAATCTCGAATACTTGAAACCACATATACCACATACAAACTCATCAGCAACCGATAGAATCATGGCAGCAGTTCCCTATTGAATATCATAATTTATCGAACACTTTTCACCCTCACAAAAACCCATGAAATACGTTAAAGATTATATCTATATTGTCTTTTAAAAACTTATGATTACTCAATAATTATTTTACCGGATTCAAGCTGATAAGAAACCTATAATTTTAGAACCGTGTTTTCATATTTGAGCTCATAAACCTAGAAACTAGTTGTCTTATAAACACTCATTGGACACATTTCAGATTGGGCATTCATTGTCAAATTGAAACTCGTAAATTCTCAGTTATTCTGAGTCACATGAATGCTAATAGAAATCGCATTAAATCAGATAAGGAATTCCTTAGTGAAACTCTAAAATCCTGATATATTTTTTTCCTGACGATACCCAATAGAATTCTATTTGTGAATTCCTACACATTTCTCATATATACTAAGGCGCATGAATGTGCATAGAATACTTTTCCAATTGGAAGTGGAATATCTTATTGGTGGTCATAGGCTCCTCAAACCACTTGTGCCTGATAAAAACTCTCATACTCCATTGTTGTATACGCTTATAAATCACATATACTCATGAAATATCATTAAACCTTTTAGAAAGTTCATGTGCCAGAGATAATGTACTCATACGCTACAGAACTCGGTTATATATCCTTATTAATACTCATATTTTATCTATATTTCTTCATGAGACTTCATAAGGTATTTTTGGCAGGGATACCTTCCTTCCTTCAATGATGGAAGTAAGTTATGGAGCGCGCATTCGGCCATTATTACGTATTGAACATTTCAGAAAAATCACTCGACCGCCTACTATGATTTATCTACGTCCACAACGGGCGAGACGTTGATTCTACATTTTCCCGCTAGATAGTGATAATGCTATTGCTGCTGTGACGAGTGAAAATAAAATGGCAAATGGCATTTTAGGTACGCGGAACATATGTACCAGTGGGATTTTTCAACTCTGAATTAGAAAAATCTGCGACAATTTCAAAACTGACAGATATCATAATTGTGCAATGTCGCCATCTATTAGAAGATCGACGGAACCATTGCTCTCACTGTTCTCGAGAGGTCGAGTAAAATTTCTGAAACAAAGGCGCATATCAGTAATTACACCATATCTTACTTCCATCATTATATTCCTTCCCTACCTGTTAAACTTTAATTTTTGGCCGTAGAAGTCGACATTAATATGTGTTTCAGATGTTCGTTTCTTCGCCAATTATTCACTCTACTATTTCATAAGAAACGGTCAATCCACTCTGCTTCATGATATATTTGCTTCACATGATCAATTTTTGGTATTATATAACTTTTGTCTCTTTCCACTTCATTAGTTTAACCATGTTTAACCCTTTGCTAGATGGTAAATTTACTTTTTCATTGTAGATTCACTTAATATGTAGGTACATTGACTGATGACGACCTTTCGAAAAGTCGAGACATATGTCTCAAAATCAATGATGCAGGATTGACTGCATCCATTCACCATTAAAATTGGTGGAGATGACTTTGAGACTTCACTTTGTCGATTTTCCCTCTCCACTTCGAGTATGGACTACTTCAGAAGATTCATATCATGCTTTTTTTTTTTATTTTTTTTTAATTGACTCGGCCATTACTTGATGGAAATCTATGGCAAATGTGAACTCCACAAACGATAAGATTTTCACGAAATTCTCAATCACACGACATGTTTCGCTAACACAGTAGCTCCATCAGACAATGAACTATACTAACCTTGACTTTCCTGAGTTTCATATATCGTACTTTCCCAACCTGAAGGATTAGAATTAACTGTGGATAGGTTCGATGAACCTTCATTTTCGGATAATAGGCACAATATCTTCTTTTTATGTTCTGGTTCCCACGAAAAGGGATATCCTGTAATGTTCAGAGAACATCGTGAGGACCAAGGGTAATAAGGTAGGAATTGTTGTTCTTCTTAAAATCTGTAGTTGCTAGGTAGGGTCTTTTAGCCTTTTTTAGGAACTGGTTGTACTCTTGCAATTTTCCACTTGGACGGGAATTACCCAATTTGTAAGAGTAGTTAAAAACTTGCAGAGAACAGGTGTTAGTTCGGGTGCACTTTTCTCAAGAACAATCGGTGGGATTTCGTCGGAGCCACAAGCTTCATTGGTGTTGAGACCCAATAAAATCTTCTTAATAGTACGTTGGCGAAAGGTCTACATTAAAATGCCGTTAGTGGTGAACTGTTGAGGTCTAGTTGATCCTTAATTAAAATGTAATAATTTTTGAGTTGAGAGAAAAAACACCTGTGCTGCATGTTAAGTGTCGTGGAAAAGTCCCTTTCTATGCCGTTTCGACTAGTTTCGAGAAAAAATATCTATTCCCATACATTTTTTCCGGCAGGTCTCAGACAGCACTTCACAAAGCGGTAGCATATAAATGGCGAGACATCTGTTGTATTCTGGTGGCAGGAGGGGCAGCCTTGGATGTCAAGGACCATCGCGGTCTCACTCCGAGATTGTTGGCTCTTCAGAATGATGATCACGAGTTGGCAGCCTATTTGGAAAGTAAGTGAGCCTCGCAGAGCCGGATTAAAGACATTTTTCCACGAAGTCAACCACGCATTACACATTACACGTGGAGTAGGTACCTACATATACTGAGAATTTTCTTGAAAAACGCGACAGATATATCTTTTTCATACAGATGGACAAATCTGCCGTCATAGGCACAAGGGCTCATTCCACATCGAGGACAATTTCCACAAAACAACATATATTCCATTTCCGCGACTAGTAATTACTCCTATCGAGGTGCGAAACAAACATATACAGGGTGTTTTGAAATTCGACCAACAACGCTTGATAGGTGATAGCCCTCGTTGATTCCATAATTACTGAGATATGGACGAACGATCTTCAAGTGTTAAGTTCTCGAAATACAGGGTGCTGAAGTTAAGGAATAAAAATAGTTTGTTCGCAACAAGTCAAGAATTATTGGATATCATTATGTTGCATTTGAATTCGGTATTTGGTTTCATCTTGTATTGAGTCATTCTTTGACTAGAAATTCATTCCGAACATTTCATCTAGTGGTGCGCAACAGGCTTTTCTCTCATATTTTTTACGCCACTGATGAAATTTCGATTATTTTCAATTCCTCGAATTCATTGTTCAATTTTGTTCAAGAAATGCATCACCTTCAACTGAGCTGAAATGTACAGATTTCGAGATATTTGACTCAGAATAGAAGTTAAAATAGTAATGTTTCATTACTTCCAGTAGTAGAAAATCAACAAGAAAATCTGGTGACGATCTGATATCAGAAGATATCATCCTCTGACTAAATAGAATAAGTTAATTCATGCAGGAAAAAAACATACATTTTTGTAATTTCATACTACTGGAAATGATGAAGAATTACTATAGGTACAAACTTCTACAGGGTGTCCTTAAAAGGTCTTTACAAAAAGCTACCACATATTCTTCAGACCAAAACAATTCGATACAAGCAAACTTACCTCAGTAAAAAGTTGCTTAGTTTGGGCGCTAGACGGCTCTGAAGTTGAAATTTTCAAATCGATTTTGCTTCATAACTTTGGAACGGCTCATGAGATTTTTTTCAAATTTGGTACGTTGGCATAGACTCATCGGGCAATGAAACTCATATCATAATCATAATGAATATCATTCCATGGGCGTAGAACTTGATTTTTTCAGGAAATAAACATCTAAAACTTCTACGCCAATGAAAAAAAATCAGTTTCAGTATGACATCTAGATATCCCAAATCATTCACTACAAAAAAGGTACTCCTGATAAAATACGATTACTCTGATGGTTTCGACAATATTTAAGTTTTAGTGATTTCGCGCATATTTAAATAATAAAACGATTGATAGATATTGCATGAAAGTTTTCCAAAATGTTCACTATTTTCGCGTGAACAAAGATTTATACGACGCAAAAAGTTGAAATCCTAATCATAATGAATATCATTCCATGGGCGTAGAACTTGCTTTTCTCAGTAAATAAACATCTAAAACTCCTACGCCAATGGAAAAAGTTAGTTTCAATATGAAATCTAGATTGTTCAACTCATTCACTACAAAAAAGGTACTCTTGACAAATGGTCGAATGGTTTCGACAAAATTTTAATTTCAGTGATTAAGAGCATAATCAATAATAAAACGATTAACAGATATTTCATAAAAATTGTTCAAAATGTTCACCATTTTCACGTATACAAAGATTTATACAACGCAAAAAGTTGAGATGTACTTTTTGCATAGGTTATTTCTATTGAAAATAAGCACTGTTTTTTTTTCTGAAGACTATTATTATCTGCTCGAAAACAGTGATATTCACATTCTTGGTTTCCATAGTTTCATCTGTGTTGATTTGTCGAGTTTTATTGACGTTGATTGTTGATATCGGACTTTTCTGATTTATCATGGCCGTACAATACACCAATGAAGAATACACCGATATGTTATTGGTATTCGGATATTGTCAAGGAAATGGTCGAGAGAGTGTGAGGGTGTATTCGCCAAGGTTTCCAAATCGTCGCGTACCAAGCCACCCAACCTTTGCTGCAGTTGAGAGACGTCTTCGGGAGACCGGTCATTTTGCTCCTAGAACTGTTGATTATGGAAGACAGCGTTATGTAAGGATTCCCGAAGTCGAAGTAGAAATTTTAGACCGTATTGAAGAAAATCCAGAATTGAGTACTAGACGGATGAGTAATGAACTAGAAGTTTCTAGGAATGCCGTTCATGAAGTACTAAGAGAACAATTATTATACCCATACCACAAGACGCCAGTTCAAGATTTATTAATCCATGATTCACAAAGTCGTCTGATGTTTTGTAGGTTCATTAATTTGCAAAGAGAAATGAATCTGAACTTTGGAAAGAATATTTTGTTCACTGATGAAGCCTGTTTCACGAGAAGAGGAATAACTAATTTTCATAATGAACACGTTTATGCAATTGAAAATCCTCATTCCATTAAAATAAACCATTTTCAACACGAATTCAAAATCAACGTTTGGGCTGGAATAATAGGAAATTTTATAATTGGTCCTGTCATACTTCCACAAAGATTAACAGGAGACATGTATTCACAACATCTACGAAATACGTTGCCAAATTTGTTGGAAGATTCACCACTCCAACATCGGGTAGATATGTGGTTTATGCACGATGGAGCTCCACCACATTTTTCGGTGGATGCTAGGAATTTTTTAAACCAACAGTACCCAGACAGATGGATAGGTAGAGGTAATGATGCACCCGTGAATTGGCCACCACGTTCTCCAGACTTAACACCGATGGATTATTTTGTATGGGGTTATCTCAAGTCTACGGTTTACAAGACCCCTGTGAATACTGTAGAACAATTATGGCAACGTATCCAACAGGCGACGAATAATCTTACAGGCGATGAAGAAGTTATGCAAAGAGTACATTTCAACTCTTTGCGTCGTATAAATCTTTGTATACGTGAAAATGATGAACATTTTGAACAATTTTTATGAAATATCTGTTAATCGTTTTATTATTAATTATGCTCTAAATCACTAAAATTAAAATTTTGTCGAAACCATGAGAGGAATCGACTTTTGTCAAGAGTACCTTTTTTGTAGTGAATGAGTTGAATAATTTAGATTTCATATTGAAACTAATTTTTTTCCATTGGCGTAGGAGTTTTAGATGTTTATTTCCTGAAAAAATCAAGTTCTACGCCCATGGAATGATATTCATTATGATTATGATATGAGTTTCATTGCTCGATGAGTCTATGCCAACGTACCAAATTTGAAAAAAATCTCATGAGCCGTTCAAAAGTTATGAAGCAAAATCGATTTGAAAATTTCAACTTCAGAGCCGTCTAGCGCCCAAACTAAGCAACTTTTTACTGAGGTAAGTTTGCTTGTATCGAATTGTTTTGGTCTGAAGAATATGTGTTAGCTTTTTGTAAAGACCTTTTAAGGACACCCTGTATTTTGGGTCTAATATATCGTGAACTGTTTATTGCAGCTCAATTGGAGGTGGATCCATTTCTTGAACAAAATTGAACAATGAATTCGAGAAATTGAAAATAATCGAAATTTCATCAGTGGCGAAGATGATATGGGGGAGAAATAACCGCTACCCCCCTGTAGCGCACCAATGAATAAAATGTCCAAAATGACTTTCTGGTTAAGAAATGACCCAATCCAAGATGAAATCATATACAGAAATAGAATGCAAAATATTTAATCATCCTTGACTTATTGCGAAAAAACTATTTTAATTTCCCAACTTCATCATCCTGATTCTCGAGAACTGAATACTTGAAGATCGTACGTCCCTATCTCAGTAATTATGAAATCACGAGGGCTATCATCTGTCAATCGTTGTCAGTCGAATTTCGAAACAGCCTGTATAGCCTCAATGTATATTTTTTCGAAAATATATTCAAAATAATGATATCTTGGATTTAATTATTTCAAATTACAGATAAGCCCTTTCGCCTTAGTTATATGCCAATCTAACAGCTCAACAAATGAATGCCACATAAATACATATGTACACAATCGCCCTGTGTGTCATTGCGGCAATAGTTTTTATAACTTCTTTCACAGAGCATACAGTTGATAATTAACTGCTGAACTGAAACAACTGAGATTGAATCAGCATGTTCATTCTAGTTCAATGATGAATCAGACGTGTAAGTTATACTAATAAGAACAAAAGAACGCAAATGCTGAATACCATCTGAATACTGAAGTATAAAAGGCATATGTACATATTTTTCAATCATCAGATAAGCCTTGTATGTCTCAGTTTTGAGAGATGGGCCGTTTTCCCCTAGTAAATGACCCATGAAGTGCATTCATGCCCTTATTTGAAACTCTATTTTCCGTTTCTAGAATATGAGGATAATTCCAAAAACCACTAGGAATGTAAGAGGAGCATGTGGATGAAATACTAAGATCAATATTTGATAATGGACGAATTTTGCACTTAGGCCCTTTGTGCTTATGACGTCAGATACTGCTATAGCCCTATCCAATATTCAAATTTTGCAAAGCGGCAGGTCGTTCCAAGTAGTCACTGGATGGTATTAGTTAGATGAGAGTTCGGACACAGAAATGACAATTGTTAGTGTTTTTTAATGTTCAAAACTGTTTGAATTTCACAATATATTTCTAGAACGCCAGAATTGAAATATGATTTCATGAACTATTGAGAAGAAAGAATAAATGAAAATGTTCTGCTGTGTGATGGATTGAGAGAATTCTGAAAAGAATGGATTTCATTTATTCAATTCTCCAAAAGGAATATCGAGGGAAATATCAACCATTCTCTTATTGAAGGAATGTATGAAACGGCCTGCATGGAAAATTAATTCGAAAAGAAGCAGAATTTGCGAGGTGTGACCCACTTAAGACCGGAGCATCCTTATAAAATCTATAGTTTTTAACCCATTTTTTTTTCTTTTGTTTCAGCAGAAGGACTATCCGGAGATCTACGTTTACACAAATCCGCAAAATCAAATTTCAATCTACAGGGCATACTGTGTTATTGTTTCCATGTTAAAAATTGCGAAATATCATTAGCAATTTTTTTCAAGAAAAATTGACCCCACCACTGAATTCAGCAACCTTCAATTAGGTTGAGCGCAAAATTTCATTAAAAAATTTCAATTGGCAACAAAGTTACACCAACATTAATTTTGATTGCTCACCATTTTTAATGAATATTTCTGACAAACTCTGAGGAGCGACAATATTGTCAACACAAATGTTGGAAATCATTGAGGTTTCTGGTATACATTTGAATTGATAACACAAATTATAATCGAGTTATAACATCTAAAATGGAATTTATCTTGTTATTCGTGAAAAGATTCTTAAAATGAAAAATCCATAACGTCGAAAACTCGGCTTTGGTATCAAAATAACTTCATCTTAATTTTATCATTTCCAAATTTTCTACCAGCCATCGTTCAAATAAGTTCTATAATATACATCATTGAATAATCTCGGTCCATAACTATCTAGCCTTAATCAATATATTTGTAATTTTTGTTGCTTCCACTATACCACTATTTCAATTGAATACATTTTTCATATCTATTTTTCACAGTATTTTTCGAGTCCTTCGGGTGTTACTTCCCTACAAGCTTGACGTGTTCTTTCACACAACTCCTGTCTAGTTCTTGGGCGGGTTTTGTAAACTTTTTGTACAAGAAAACCCCACAAGAAGAAGTCGAGAGGGGTTAAATCGGGGGACATGGGTGGCCATCCAATTAATTCACTTCCTCAACCAGTCCAGCGACGAGGAAACTGTTCATTCAGTCATTGTCTGATAATCCCAGCATGATGCACTGGGCAGCCATTTAATTAAAAATGTAGATCATTCCAAATGGGTACCAGTCTAGAGATTATAACTCGATAATAATTTGTGTTATCAATTCAAATGTATACCAGAAACCTCAATGATTTCCAACATTTGTGTTGACAATGTTGCCGCTTCTCAGAATTTGTCAGAAATATTCATAAAAAATGGTGAGCAATCAATATTATCGTTGTTATAACTTTGTTGCCGATCGAAATTTTTCAATGGAATTTTGCGCTCAACCTAATTGAAGAATGCTGAATTCAGTGGTGGGGTCGATTTTTTTTTAAATCGCTAATGATATTTCGCAGTTTTTAACATGAAAATAATAACATAGTATGCCCTGTAGATTGAAATCTTATTTTGAAAATTTATGTGAACGTAGATCTCTGGATAGTCCTGCTGAAACAAAAAGAAAAGAAATCAGTTAAAAACTATAGATTTTATAAGGGTGATCCGATCTTAAGTGGGTCACACACTGTACATTAAAATTCACATCTCGTAGCAGCAGAATCCAATGAAAAACAGAAGATTTTAAGATTCGTTTGAGAGGGTCTGCTGTTCAATCAATTTACAAAACACTTTATTCAAAAGAAAATATTATGATCATCACACGGAATTCAATACGAAGTTATCATGTAGAAAGAGGAAGTGATTGCAACACTACGTAATAAAATTGAAAATTTGAAAACGAAACTGAGGAAATCAAGTAAATTGCAATGTGATATATCATTGGAAGGCATTTTCAATCCCGACCGAATAATAGCTATAAGTAAATTCATATTGTGTCTATTTTGTCATATTGAAATGTAGTTACATGCATTTTTTTCATTTTATAACTGTTGTTCTGCGAAAAGTAAAGTAGGTATATCGCATGTACATCGATATAAATTGAAGGGGATGTTTATACTCTCTTTCTTTTTTCCATCTACGGCTCTGAGACAGTTATTTGACAACAAATCACACCTCTAAAATGGTATCTGACAATCAGGAGCTATAAGGAAAATTGAAAAGACAAGAAGCAGAATATATGCCTTGTTTCTTTATTCATTCAAACCATTGTGATATAGAAAATATAAAAGGACAGAAGTTCAGCTGTGTCCGAACTCTAATCTACTAATACCATCCAGTGACTCTAGTTCCAAGAAAACGTGATAGGTCGATAGATAGATTGATAGTTGATTGATGATGATATTTAATACACGATAGAACACGTTCACTCTGAACAAGCTTTCCGGATCTTGAAGACGTTCTTCCTCACAAATTTCATCAGAATGACGTTTTACTTTTCTCTGACAATTTTAGGAAATTCAGGGTTCATCGGGGTTGCTAGACCATTTCACTACGATATCGAAGTCATATCGATACTTTTCGTTCTTCTGAACAGACATGCAAGCGCTTGATGAGGCTATAAAGTGTAATTACAATTCTCACTTGATAATGTAAACGAGTTTTGTACACTATTTTTCCTACGACCACAAATATTTATTTTATATGTCATGAGTATTTATAAGACCAGAGTAGGGATCATGTTTCTAATCATATGCGATCACATGAAGGTGATATCATAATCATTATCATTTACTTTTACTGCAATATTCAAATGACATCATTAGTTTAACGTTAACTTGACATTAACTTAATATGAACTTGACATTAACTCAACATTAACTTAACATCAACTTAACATCCACTTAACATCAACTCAACATAAATTTAACAGTTTCTCAACATTAACTTGAAATTAACTCAACATCAACTCAACATCAACTCAACATCAACTCAACATCAACTCAACATCAACTCAACATCAACTCAACATCAACTCAACATCAACTCAACATCAACTCAACATCAACTCAACATCAACTCAACATCAACTCAACATCAACTCAACATCAACTCAACATCAACTCAACATCAACTCAACATCAACTCAACATCAACTTAAAATTAACCTAACATTGACTTAACATCAACTTAACATTAACTCAATGATTATTCAACATTATCTCAACATTAAATCAACATTAACTCAAAATTAACTCAACATTACCTTAAAATCAAATCAACATTAACTCAATATCAAATTGACATCAACTCCACATCAAACACTGAATTGCCAACACATTGACATTAATTCAACTTTCAATTGAAATCAACTTGATTTCAACTTAACATTACGTCAACATTAACGACAATAACTCATGTTAAATCGACACTAACTTTCCATTAACTTGACCATAACTTAACTCACCTTTACATTACTTTAACATTAACCTACCATTAGCTCAACATTAATTCAACAATAACTCAACATTAACATTAGCAGTTACAAGCTTACCCGATAGATGACCCAAGCGCTGTTGTAGACAGCAACGAGGTTATGTCTCGCGATATATGATTTATCAATTTATTATGAATGACAAAGAATCATAAACCTGATAAAGATGCGAAATGATAACAATTATAAACTAATGAAAATGATTGTTTTCGAATGGACGTATAATAAATACATACAGGGTGTAAATTTGAAAACTTCCAATGCGAATATCTCGCGAAAGAAAAAAGTTAGGAAAACGCCATTTGGCAAAAATGCTAAAGAGTTAAGGGGAACTAGAACCACCATATTTCGGTCAAGGGATGAGTCACCCCGTCGGCGCGACACACCCCAACTTTGAAATGTCAAATAGCACTACCTTTTTTTGATGCCTCAAATGAACAGTCTCAGTCAGTAGTATTCACCTGTACAAGACTTTTTTTCCACCCACTACAGGGTGTACGAAAAATATAAAGTCGAATAAAATAAAATGAATTGTGTTAAAAGGATATTTTATTTGATCAGATGTTCAAAATGCATTCCATTCTGTTGTAAGCAATAGTATAATCGATGTTCAAATGCCATTCTAACATTTTGGAACACATCTCTTGGAATATATCGGCATTCTGCATTTTATTTTATTCGACTTTATGTTTTCCGTTCACCCTGTAGTGGGTGGAAAATAAGTCTTGTACATGTGAATACTACTGACTGAGACCGTTCATTTGAGGTATCACAAAAGAAGTAGTGCCATTTGACATTTCAAAGTTGGGGTGTGTTGCGCTGACAGGGTGACTCATCCCTTTACTGAAATATGGTGGTTTTAGTTCCCCTTAACTCTTTAGCATTTTTGCCAATCGGCGTTTTTCTAACTTTCTTATTTCTCGAGATATTCGCATTGGAAGTTTTCAAATCTACACCCTGTATAGTGATTCATTTACCAAGTAAGTACATCATATACCTTTCCAAACCTTGTGTGGTGAGCGTGAGTATTTTTGTTTTTGGGTTTTATGATGTTTTCATAGATGGTCATAGGAAAAGATGTTTTTATGCGAATACAAATTGCACACCATTGTTCAGAAGGAGATAACTTGTCATCCAAAACCAAAAACGTCCAAACCGGACGACTAGTTTTGACTTTTGACAAAACTACCTTGAACTTTTGGGTATTTTCTGGTGGTTCGTTAATTTTTGGGAGAAGTGTATATCAATTTTGTGACGAGATTGATAGATATCATTCTGCTGCGTTATCTATCACACATAGATATTTATACCAATGGGAAGGGATGTTCTTTAGGTATGTTCACTCTCCATGATATCATGCTCATGTTTCATTTATGTTACAGGTCAGGAAAACTTCAGAATGGTGGCGTCAGATGATGGGACTGTAGTCTGAACAAAATGTGCAACATTTCTTATGGCCCTTTCGGCATAAAAGCAATTTATCTTTTCCTAAAATGCCTTACTACAAATTTTAAAAATTCATTATACATTAACTCTTATCACTTAAACATTCGAATTCAAAACATCACGTATCTACAAGGAGTATAATTGCGTGTTCGAATTTGAATAATACCTATAACGGATAAAGACGAGGACAGAAAAAGAAAACTTGTCCTGCATTCAATGAATGATAAAAGGAAAATATCCTCAGGAAAATCCTCCCCATGAGATATAAACTATAGATAAAACAAATTTATTGAGCAAACCTTGACCATTTGCAATTTACAGGGTCTACATAAGATAAGAGCATGATACCGTCCTCTGAATATTCTAACACGAACGACTCTTCGAACTTGACCAATTTTCTCCATAATATAGGAAACTACCCTACCTTTATCAGATCATTCTTATGAATATTATGCTATTGCTATATTATATGTGTGAAACTCATCAGAAATATACAAAGTTCTAGAAGAAACAGCAATATAAGTCCCAAAGTCTGTCGACCACAAAAATATTGTTTGATAAGTAGTTTAACTAGTTTCGACCACAGGCCACCATCAGACACAAAAATGATGTATCCGGAAGTACCTATATATAAGATAATTATGGACATTGTTAAGGAGTCGAAAAATAATCGAGGAATCGATATAATAACCTCAGCAATACATATTGAGAGCAAAAAATGAAATCAAAAGCCTAAGTCGAATTTCAAAATATCATTCTTTAATTTAAAAAAGGTTAAAATCTGCAAAGAGTACAGTAGAACCAGAACAGCATTTTATTATTGAAGAACATTAGGACAATTTATCAAGAACTTTCGAAAAACACCTCTCACATGAGGTTCATCAGGTTATGCAAAATGCAAATGGAAGCTACGAAAGATTTCGAAGAACCTGAAACGTAATATTTCACATAAAAAGTAAAACATTACAGAGAACAAGTGACACAAGTCAATGTCAATGACACATGACATACAAATAAAAATTAAATTGAATGATGACACAGAATCATGACAACGACGAGTAACACCAGTCAATGTCAAATATGATAAAATTAATAAGACATTGACAAGAAATAAATAGAAAATTTCCAGAAAGCAATGGGAACAAGATATTTCTCTTTCTCTTGTTCCCATTGTTTTCTTAAAAATTTTCATTCGTTTGTCATTTGTTGTTATCTCGTCGTTGTCATGATTCTGTGTCATCACTCAATTTAATTTTCATTTATTATAGTTTTATCATATTTGACATTGACTGGTGTCACTCGTTGTTGTCTCGTCCTTGTCATGATTCTGTGTCATCACTTAATTTTATTTTCATTTGTTTGTCATGTGTTATTGACATCGACTTGTGTCACTTGTTCTTTGTCATGGTTTACTTTCCATGTGATTTATGATGTTTCTGGTTCTGCGAATTCTGTTGTAGCTTCGATTTGCATTTTGTATATCGATTCCATAACTCTTCTTTGACTCCTTTGACTTCCGAATACATCATTGTTGTGTCTGAGGATGGCCTGTGGCCGAAACTAGTTACACCACTTATTCAAAAATATTTCCGTGGTCGACAGACTTCGGGACTTTTATTGCTTTCTCTTCTAAAAATCAATTGGAACAGTTTGAGAAATATGGATGGTTTCAACGATTCGAATATTTAAATGTTGATTCTTTCATCCCACATCCCTTGAAGCTCGCTGGGTGATTCCCATTGCAATTCGAACGACGCGCTTATTTGTCTTTCCTCGGCTTCTTGCATTTCGAAGTGAGCTTCACAAGGTCACGTATGGAGTATATCTCTTTACTATCGTAAGTTTCAGGCAAAATGGCATCGACCAATGGCATCAGTGTTCCATCTCGTTTCTTCATGAGGTGAGGTGAGGTGACTGAAAAACCTCTGTCTTTCAGGTTCTTCTCAACAAACCTCATTTGAATATCTTCAGATTGGCCTCGGATCACCACCTGCAAATCTTTCACACTAGGCAACTGGTATGTGTGATATGGTGCACTGAACTCATTCAATAGCTTTGTCAGAGCTCTTAATGAGTCACGACCATCGCGAAATATGTTTATACCATCCGGGGTATTTTGAGCCTTTGTATGAAATGGTGAGCTGAGCCCTAAGTCGGAACCACAACGACTTGTCTCTAAGAATAACAGGAGGACCTCGACTCACACCAGGTTTGGAATTGGTTTGGGTTTTCATTTGAAAGAGGAATTTTGGGACGCACAGTCGAAGCTACTGCATGTGGGACATCTGCTGATTTCGAACAGCTAGGCTGCTCTTTGTTTGCAGAGACTGAGGATGACTCCTGGGCAGAGGGAGATCGGGATCTGGATTTGGTGGAAGATCTGGAATGGTTCTTCCTCCGAGGGGGTTCCTCATTTCGACCCCCCAACAACGAACAGGGCCCCTGACTAGTAGGAGCCACAGACAACACAGACTTTACGGACAGACTGTCCATTTTCAGGTCGTCTGGGACCTCCCCCAAGCCACTGAATCTTTCCGAGACGGACAGCCTCATAGCATATTTCTTGATAAGATATAATGGATAATACTAGTTTCTGGTCATTCATTTTGATGTGCAGATAATTCATTATTCCGCCATACTGCATAAACACCTACCTATACTAAGTGATCTCATACTACATAAATCCCTTATCTATACACAGTTATACGATTGTTACGAGAAACGTGATGAAATAAAATGTAATTCATACTTTCATATTGAGATAATATATTCAAAATAGTGGAAATGACTTGTAGACCAGTGCTGCAGCCTTTGAAAACGGTAAAATGTGGAGAAAAATCATAGTAGGATGGAACTCATTGAAACAGGAGGAAAATATAACTAAGATAAAAGGGAACAAAATTACGGGCGATCTGAGGTCCGAAAGTAGTATGGGGGGAGTTTTCAAGGGTAAAAAACGGTTTATCTTGATTACCAGCAAAACTACGAGCCCTATGGAGAAAGGTTGAATAACAAAGTTGTAGGTAATAAAGAAATCAACATTTTTTTGTAATCACATTTTTTTCACATAACCTCAAAATTTACTCACTTTTACATGTCCTGAAGACACTGTAATGTTTTTGATTTGAAATATTCATTGTTGCACCTTCTACTGACTCAATATCGAAAAAACACCCTAATTTTCAATCGAAAATTCTCGCGTCGAAATATCAGCTTTTTTAAAAAACTCGGGGCGTTTTTTGTTCGTTGAGATCTCTTCTTTCTGATAATGTGAGAAAATATATACATCACTATGGTAAATGTTCTCAGAAAATGCAATGAAAAGAAAGAAATTCGTATCCGAATATTTTTTAATCACTATGTACAATTTTGAGCTATTTTGTAAAATTTTCACTTTAATCACTTGAAAAACGTAAGATTCTATGTTACATTGAAAAACGAAAAAATTACAAATCCATGAATCATAAAGATTGCTAGAAACATGCGAAAATAGGTGTTCCAAATATTAAAGATCGGATTCAAAGGGGGGATTAGAATAAAAAAATGTGATTGCTGCAATTTTTTTAGTCAAAAAGTTGATTTATTGAATTCTAATCACATTCATGTCATAGAAAATCTCATAATATATGAATGAAAATGTAAATCGTAATATTGAATTTAGATACTTAATACTGATTTATTATTCATAATAATATTTTTAAATGCATTCATCTTCTTATTTATAAATCTTATCTTGAACCCCAATCACTTATCCATCAGTTTTTGTGTGTTAGGTGGCATTTCTTCATCGTTAGATTCGACAAACCTTCCCGATTCTAGTAGATCTTCGAAATCTTCATGACCATCACCCTCTTTGTATCCAATATTATCTTTAGTCTGAAGTGGTCCTTCATCCACAATTTCATCTTTTTTCTGAATCAATAACTTCCTTTAGATCCTATCTTCAATATTTAGAACAACTATTTTCGCATGTTCCTTAATTAAAGTGTAAATATCACTAAATAGCTCAAAATTGTACATAGTGATTAAAAAAAAATTCGGATTCGAGTTTTTTTCATTTCTTTGCATTTCTGAGAACATTTACTATAGTGATGTATATATTTTTCACACTATCAGAAAGAAGAGAGTCAAAATAAGGTGAGAGAATAAATATATCAAATCAAAAAAATTACAGTGTATTTAGGACATGAAAAGGTAAGTTTTTATCAAATTTCGTTAAAAAAAATCTATTTTCGCATAAGATGAAAATAAAAAACCAAAAACTTGATTATTTGAATTTCTCACATATATCTTGAGGTTATATGGAAAAAGTGTGATCACAAATGTTGTAGGTCTCTTCATTACCACCAACTTTGTCATTTGATATTTCACCATAGGTTTTGCAGGAATCCGAGATACACCGTTTTTTACCCTTAAAACTCCCCGCCTTCCAATTCTCTGCCTCAGATCGCCCGTATATCTGTTTTTCCTTCCATTTTTGTTATATTCTCGTCCTTTCTCAACGGGTTTCATCCAACTATTTTTTTTTGTTACAAAAATTATCGACCCTGGTCTATTGGTGCGTCTTGTTCTCATCAAACAATGATATTTGTCCTTGTGTCCCCATAAAATCGGAATTCAATCAAGAACGAATGTTTGTCTCTTTATTTTCGTTACACTATGCATGTATATATCAGCTATCATCTTCATTGGCCGTCATTTCTATTGGTACCTAATAGCATACAATCTACTGAGGAAATATCCTTGATTATTTACACTTGTATATTAACTTTGAAGACCATCCCCAGTCCCCACTTAGTTCGTATCATATGTCACACAATTATGACTCCAATCAATCATTAGTTTTGAATACGAGATGTTTTGAACGTAGAATGTGAACTCTGTGAATATTTAAATATTTTGTCCATTTAAATCTTTGATGGGTAGAAATATCCTGTATTTTGTACCTAATATGATATTGAAACATTTGTGATAAATCTTATATTATAATCTCAATTTTCATAGATCTGATTCATCTCATGAAACCAGAAATCGAAAATGGCCTTCTGATTGTTATTTGAAGAAAGTCGTGTGAACATATTCAGTGGTCTCATGAAATGAAAGGTTTATTCCTATAAAACCAAATATGAATAACTATTCCATTGCACATAATAATTAAATTATCAGCAACATAGTGATGAGTACATACTATTTATTGTGTATTTTAGGCAAGATAGGTACCTACTCAAAAACTATAGTATTTCAATATACCGGCTAGAATGGAAATAGGGTGATTGTCTTTCTAATTCCATTCTTTTCAAAGAAAACAACCCTGCTTTTGGGTCATCAAAAAGAAATATCTATTCGTGCAAGAAGGATAGAAATGTGTTTTGTCCATTCGAGATGTGAGCCTAGACTATACAAACAATTCAAGAAGTGAAAAATCGTAGTTACAGTTTCTAATCTGAGCCATCATCAGAAATTATATACTTGCAAATATACAGGGTATACCACGACGAGCCCACACTATCTCTATATAGAGAATCAGTGGGGAGAAATCCATGGAAATATGCATGATTATATTTCAGAATACGCTCTCTTCATTTGAAATATTTCCAGGAATGCAGTGTTGCCGCTTCTATCAAAAAGAAGCAACAACTTTGTTATTTCAAATGAAATACCCTGTAGTTTATTGCATTTTCAGATTCTCCCTGAAGAGCTGATTTCATCGAGATATCACATTTGGGGTCAATCGGAAATGATAACAGAGATATAGGGTGTTCAAAATCGAGATTTTTCAACTCAAGGATTTTTTTGTGTCGAAACTATTGATCATCGGCCAAAACGATTCAGATCGCTATCCCAGTTTTTCATTCACTATTTACTGATATTCAATCGGAACAAATGAAGGGTGATCAAAATTCTTAATCTTGAACCACCCTGTATCTGTTCCGATTAAATATCAGTAAATATTGAATCAAAAGTCGGGGTAGAAACATGTGAGCCGTTTTGACTGATAATGAATAGTTTCGACACAAAAAAAAATCCTAAAATTGAAAATCCTCGATTTTGAACACCCTATATCTCTGCAATCATTTCCAATAGATCACCAGTGTAATATATCGATGGAATTAATTCTTCAGGGAGAATCTATAAATGCGATAAAATACAGAGTGTTCGATTTGAAATATCAATATTGCTACTACTTTCTAGTAGAAGCGGCAACACTGAATTATCGGAAATATTTCAAATGGAGAGAGCGTATTCTGAAATATAAGCATGCACATTTTCATGGATTTCTCCCGAATGATTCTCGATATAAAGATACCCTGTATACTGATTATTTTGTAGTTCGTGTTATTCTGATCAAAAGTATTCATGAGCGTTGACTTCTATCAAGTACAGTTTTTGTATACAGAGTGTGGGAGTTTGACTTTCGTGAAATTATGATAATGTTCTAGTATAAAAAAGAGATTCGGGTTGACATGAAGAATAAAAAATACGATCCCACATAAGTCTTTTTAAGTACACTTTTTTCATCAAAATCCATTTTGCATCAAATTTTCAGTGAGTGAATGGTAAATAAATGAAAACTGATGTCGGTCGGAAAATCACAGCTGTGGAAAATTAGTAGGAATCAAAAACTCAAATTAATTATCCCTGTGCCTTTTCTCATCCTGATGAAGTATTTCTTCAAGAAATTATGCCTATGGTATAAAAGAATCATTATGCTTGCTCGATTTCCTAATAATTTTTCAATTCCTCTTCCTTAACTGAAAAATGCCATAACTGCTGTGTAGGAGTTCCTTTTTAATTTTGACCATTTAATTTCTGTATATAAAATCTCGTAAGCGTAAAGGTTTTCCCTCACTTTTCCAGCGACAAAACCGAAACATTTGAGAGCTTGACAACCAAAATTTGAAACAAATGTTTGATAGTGTTTATGTCATGTTTTCTCAATCTTGCGTTGTCAGGAAAGTATCTCCAATCTGTTCAAACGTCACGATTTATATGAGAGTCGTCGAGTAGAGAAATTGAAGAAAGCATCAAAAATATTGTGATATCAAATTGTCCCACAAATTTTAATCAATATGGTGATATGACTCGGGTTCATTTCCAAAGAAACTCAAGCTTATTCTCATCCAGATTTTGATTGTTTCCTTATTTCGAGACATGATTGATTACTTGCACCACTTGCACCAATACAATCAATTTCACCAAATGCAAACAGTTTTCAAAATTGGATAATATTTCAGAATAATATTAAAAATGTAGATAAAAAATGTTAGATAATCATAAACTCTTATGCTTCTGCATGAAATAATGTCAATAACGGTACCTAACACTTAACAATTTCGAGATCTTCAACAAACAAAAAATATAGGCCTTGGAAATCTTCATACTTCAGATCTGTTTACATTTTTTAATAGAGCTGAATGTGGACTATATTATGGATTTTTTTGGAGAATCTGGAAACAAGTTCCAAATTAGGAGAGGGTGTTGAGAGTTGAAATCGCACACCACACTGTATATCTCGAAAACTGAAGCTGATAGATGAAAACGGTGTTTACTTTCAGAGTAACGGCGTTCAATATCTACAGGAAAGCTATTTAGTCTTCTTCAAACAAATCTTCGTGAATATGTACTGGCGAAAAAAAACCTGCCTCCAAAAAACAAGGCAAATTGTTCGCCTTGTTACTTTTTTAATTCTTGTCCGATTTCGTTGAGATTCCGATCAAATCGCATA